AGAGATTATATAGGTTTTATAGTAAAACTTAGTATATAATTCTAGGTTTTTATAATTATATTCCTTAGTAAAGTAAGTATTATATTATACTTTTTCTTAATTTATAAGCTATTATTATATTTTAAAGTTATTTTTCCTAAGAATTTTAACTATAGGTTTAAATATCTTAAGGGTGTTAATTTAATTAAGGTTTATAAGTAATATTATATAAATTTATATATACTACTATACCTTAGGTATATTTTATAATAAGGGTATAGTATTAATTATAATAATATTAGTAGTCTTTAATAAGGGTATAGTATTATATATAGGTATTATATTCTTAAGGTTATTAACCTTTCTTAAAGTAAGTTTCTTTACTAAGGCTTATATTAGTTTATTAAGTTTAAGTTTCTTTATAACTTAAGCTATATCTAAGTTAAAGATTTTATTATTATTATATTCTTAGTTTAGTAGTTACTTAAACTTATAAATAGTATTATAATAAACTAATGCCTATATATTAGTATAAATAATACTTTTCCTAAGGGATAAACCTTAGAGAGGTTTTATAGTTTATATTAGTAGAGTAATTAGGTTAGTTAATAAATAATTTTATTACTAGCTAATAATATAAATAAAAGTAAAGGTCTAGGTTCTAATTTAATTATATTATAAACGCTATAGTTATAATAATAATTAGCTATTTAAGTATTTTAATAAGTAATATAAAGTAAACTTATATATTTAGTTATATATTCTAAAGTTAAGTAAAATTAATTATAATTCTAATTAATTTATTTATACGTTAATTAAAATTAACGTTAATTCCCATTAACTACTTTCTAATTAACTATATAGCCTAACGTTAATCTAAAAGCGCCTACCCTATAGGCCCCTTATCGCAACTATAAAAGCCAGGTTGTGACAAGTATTAATAATTTATCTAAGTTATTTTTATAGTTTATTAGTTTTCTTAAATTAATAATTTTAAGCTATATAGCCTTTTTTACTATAATTATAATAAAGGAATTTCTTCTCTTTAATAATAGTATTAAGGTCTATTTATCTTAGGTTTATCCTATAGGTATAAGTAATTTCTTTATATTATTTCTTACCCTAGTTAGCCTTATAGTAATATAATAGGAAAAGTTATAATTTTCCCTTATACTTCTTCTAATACTTATACTACTTATTATTAATTTTAATAGCTTTATTTATATATTTTTAAAAAGTATTAAGATAATTAAGTTTATATAATTTATTTTTTATTTTTTCCTTTAATCTTTTATAAAAGTATTTTATTAAGGGTTTATATTTTTATTTAAGCTTTAAGGAGATTTATATAAACTAAGAAATATACTTAAATATAGCCCCTTTTTAATAAAAATCCCTAAGTTTTTATTTAGTAACCTGTTTTTTATTAATTATTCTAAAAACTAACTAAAGTATAGTTTTAAAGTTTATATAGTCTAAGAAAATATAAATAGTTTTACTATTATAAAATATATTTATAATTTTAATATAATCTTTTATAATAAGTTTAAACTAGTTAAATATAGCTTTTTTTATATAGCTAAAAGTATAAAAAATCTTACTTTTAATAATTAGGAATTATTTATTATTAATAATATAATAGACCTTAAGTTAACTAAAAAAGGTTTATAAAATACTAGTCCTTTTAGAAAAAGGTCTTAGTTACTTAAGTTTAATTACTTTAGTAGCTTTAGTACCTTAAGCTAACTTTAGGTTATCTCTTAATTAATTATTTTATACTTAAAGTTTTTTTAAAGCTATAGTAAGGCTTTTAAGAGTAATAGTAGGTTTAAGAATTAGTTAAGGAGCTATAGTACTTCTTATTACTTAAAAGTATATAGTACTATTTTAAATAAGAGTTATTAACGTATAATAAACTGGTTTATACTAAGTAATATAAAGTAGATTTTTAAGGTAATAAACTATTTATAATTTATATTAATAAAGGCAGTAGGATATAATTAAGTAATTTTATTATATAGCTAGTAAGTTAAGTATAAAAATTAATTTTATTACTATATTAATAATTAATTATTTAAGCTATTTAATAAGTGTAAATATTTTATTCTTATATAATAAGTTATTCCTTTATAAAGTAATATAGCCTATTACTTTATTATTTAAGGGAGTAATTATATAAAGCACTCCAGTAATTAAGTTTAGCACTTTAGTCTTTTATTAATTAAAGCGGAATAACCTTATTCTAGGTACGTACTTATCTTAGATTATATAAGAGGTTAGATTAGGTCGTGATAAATATATTAGCTAATATTATTTTAGTTAGTTAGGTAGCTTTTTCCTTACTGCCTAACTTCTTAGGGTTTTTAAATCTCCCCTTAGGGTTAATATAAAAGGTAATAAAATTTTTAAATATAGTATTTAAGCATAAGTAAACTTATTCTACTACTACTAAAGAGAGTTAGGATATATATTACGCTAGGCAGAAGTTAATAACTAAAGCTATATTTAATACTATATCTTATTTAGCCTATTATTATATATTAATTTTATTAATTTAGTTTATAATTTTATTTTTAATAAGGGATTTCCCCTTATTACTTAGGTTAATAGCTTCTTTTATACTATTAAAAATAAAAGTAATAAGGCCTCTTAAGGCTATTTACACTATAGTTATTATTACTACTATACTTAGTTTTACCTTATTAAAGCTAAGTAAAAGCACCTTATTTATACTAATAACTTCTCTAAAGTATTTTTTCTTCTTAAGGGTAAAAAAGAAAACTATAGCTTTATTTATTTTTAAGCCTAAGGGGGTTACTTTTTTCTAAAGTTAGGGGGCTATTGTAGGTCTAGGGGTAACAGGGTTTATTTTATTCTGGGTATCTAGAGGGTTTATAAATATTTTTATCTCTCTAGGGTCCCTAGATAAAACTATAAAAGTAAAAATCATAGTCGTTTTATTTAATAGCTAGTTAAATAAAGTAAGGGTTTTTAGTGGTTAGGCACCTAAAAGGTAGGGTACCTGTAGATGTAGGAGGGAAGCTTGCTATTAAGTTTTTCAATATCAGAGAAGTTCTAACAATTCTTATTCATCAACGATTTTGCCGCCAGAGCAAGATTGAGCGTCAAACATATTTAACAAGGCCCTCGCATTTTCCTCCACTTCGACTGAGCTTGGAGTTCGTCCAAATTTATGTTGTTGTGAGTGTTTATATGTCGATTTTGAGGCAGTCTCCGAGAAACAATCGATGCTGTATGTAATATCTTCGGGGATGCAAAGGGAGCTGGTAAATTGAATGCCACTTGCGACGGTTGGTGGGGACTCATTTATCCTATATGGGTGCAAGTATCAGCAAACGATTGAACGAATATTTACATGCAATATTTGACCAGAGGACGACTAGCTAATTGTTATTGTTTCTCTTATACACATGCATATAGAGAAAATGTTCCTCATCAAGTTCTAAAGCTTCGTTGTTTATAGACTGCGGCAGTGAAAGAAGAGAGCTTCACATGCCACTCTTGAACAGTAATTAAACGGGGCAAAGTCGTGACGACGTATGCAAGGACCAACCTATAAACTAACATTTGAAAGAGGCGATATTAAGTATGGAGAAATTGACCAACAATCCAGAAGAGTAACGGGCATTTCATTCAAAGCGGAGATGAGTAGGGAGCTTTCATTTGGGTAGCTGTCCGCGCCGCAATTTCTTTTGGTCTATCCAGCAAGCCTCTCAATCCGAATGTGGAGTTTTTCTCTCGTATAATACAACTCGACGTCATATTGAGCAAGAGAGATGCGTTTATACTGTGGCGTTTATAGTTATCGGTGGCTCAGAGTGCTTCCTGAAGGACCAAAGGTGTGTGGATGAGACATGTATAGTATTGTGCAGAATAACGATACAGGTGAGACATACGTGATGTTTCATAAAATACTGACACGGTGAGACAATGGTGTGCGCGAGAGACATAAATTGTGATTTGCAGAAGATTGACTTCATGAGAACGTGTGAAATCTCTGCGAGACATGCATGAAGATATGGGCGCTTCTCAAGTTAAAACTGTCTCAAGATGGAATATTATAATTGGTACAACCATTAAGTGAGAGCACTGAATGTCAATGTCAGACAGGGTCCGATTGTTATGGAAGATTGCCTCATAATGGACATGGTATTTCTCCTTTGTGTTCGGGAGATGTTCTGCAACATTACCTGGTAAAGCCAACCTAGGTGCCGTAAGGGGAGCGATGGTCTTATTCAGGTCAACCTAAGATAAATATTCATCCAAGTCGTGTAGATCGTCTTATACAAGATAGATGACAAGCGATAAGCAAGTGCGATAATCGAAAGGTCCATACATATTCTTTTTACGTACTGGATTTATAAAAGGATCACTAATATTGACAGCCATGTGAGTAAATAACTGGAAGGCTTGAATATATGTACGGCCTTGAGTATATATCAATATTGAGAATATTTCAGTGCTCGAATATAAGCTGTCAGTGCGGGTTTATTTCACAGTGAGAAGATAGCGGCTCCAACTGCGGCCCCAAATCAGTGTTCAAACGCCTCTACTTTCAATCAACACACACTCACAAAAATATTGGCCCTATAAACCTATACCTTGTAACGAGTTTATGGAATTTGGTGGTTCAGAGTGGGTGCGACGGGAGCTATTTTGGCTCCCGTCGTCTAACGGATAATAGAGGGACTGGTGGCGCACGGGCGGCTCCATGCCACTAACTGCTGTGGAGCACGCCACAGGCTGTAGAGAGGACAGGGTGACTTGCGGGTGATCTTTCAACTATCGCTTCAAGGCAGCGTCTTTGGACTTGAAGAAATATCATGGTGTCAATTTAGCAAGAAACTAAAATGCCAAATGCAATTACAAGGGAGACGGCCTGCTTTCTACAAAATTCCCGTGTTCTCTAAACTTGATACTCCTTGCCGTGAAACATTGTAGAACCCAATAGTGTCGATACTCTTTGCGACCAGCAGGTTGCGTATTGCATAGGCTTTGACCTAATTATTCGGAGGCTTGCCGCTCAAGCCAAACTCTTGCTCGAAAGTACGCAGCTCTGCCGCCATCCGGGCTTTGGCAATGTCTTCTGCATCCGTTGGGGATTGCACTTTGCTGAATACAGGATGGTATTGTTGCTGATCGGCAAGGAAGCGGACAATGCTATAGCCATGGCTGGAGCTGTCGTTGGTAGTATGTAGCTTGGTGTCCCTACGTAACAGAGTTAGCGTGCATACTTCAGTTGGATGCACCTATATACCTCGACCGAAGACAGCCCATAAATTCATATTTCTATTGATGGCATATAGGTAGAGAGGGGAGGAAAAATATTATCCGTGGGATAACTTGAATAATCTTGGGTATAACCTACTTATTGCTGCTATTATAAGCGGCCTGAGACAGAACGGGGGGCATTTTGAATTAATTACGTCCAATGTCTTGTGCTGATGTCGAATCAATTGATAGGTTGGTGACAGCAGTAGTCTAACTTATGTCCCTATACTCGCTGGCAAAGTGGTAATATCAGTGCCTCAACTGGTATAGAAAGAGTAGGGCATTGGTAAATAGAAGCAATGGCAAATATAATAAATCTACCGCCATCGTTATTGGAAGTAGAAGAATCTTTATATGAGAAATGGCTACTCTATTGTAAGTTGAGGCTTATTGCCGGAGCTTTTCGAAAAGTCCGTGAGCTAGGTAGTGGAGCCTTCCAATTGGAATGGCCTTCAACACGGGATTACCATGGAGTACATGTACCCGGGTACATGTATCTTCCCGACGGTGGCCAGATGGTGGAGATGGAGATACCGGCTGATGAACCGGACATCCTCAGTAGGCATGCAACCCTAATTCAACTATCAGCCAGTCAAGTAAGTAATGCCGGGAATCTCAGTGGGTCGATCTTGCTAGAGAGCCTCGCCTTGTTAGGAATGGCGAGAACCTATGCACTAAGACCCAAGGAGAAATGGGCTTGGCTTCATTGATCCTACTAAGATGCCTTGGTGCGTGAAGCTGACATCTTATCCGTAGAGGGATCTGTACAGATACACTGTACCCAGCCTCGAAACCACCTACTTCGTAGTACTAACCTAGTACTTATCTACCTTGGTACTAGATACCTGCTACTACTAATATAATCTGCTAGAATCACTGACGCAAAATCCGAAACTCCGGGAAAAAAAGGCAACTACACAGTAACCCAATATATCGTACTTACATGTACTATTAATCAAGCAAGCAAATAGTGGTTGCCTTGACACAAGAAAAAAACCTCATCAATAGCTGTAATTTCAAACCGCGGCTTACAATAATTATTACGAAATCCAGAACACGTTTAATAAAATCACCACCACGCCACGGATTTAATAGTGAAACCAACGGCGATATTTAAAATTGCCTATGTGCTATCCATAAATTTGGCCCTCAAACATAAGCGCGCACCGCAGTCAATTTTAGAGGAACAAGTCTTTCAGCAATATCACCATAGACTATAACCAGTATTACCCAAGTCTTTTACATCACCAACTTCACCAAGCGCTATGGCCGTTAGCACGAATAGATTAACCAAATGCTTCGAACCACTCATTAAAATAAACACTGACCTCGATGCGACCGGGCCGTCATTCAACTCCAATACAGCGGTTTAACTGCGCGAATGATTGTCGCTTGCGCTAAATTGTTTATCGAATGCATCCAGACGAGCACGCATCGCGGCGATTTCTTCAGATTCAGCTGTCGCCTGATCCCGTACCTGAATAAATGCTACAGGTGGCCGTTCATGATCAACATGGTCGTCTTTGCGGCCAAGATAGCGATCGATATTATATGCCATAGCTTGGGGCTTTTTGTTTCTAAAGCGGCTGTAAGTAATTACGTTGGTACGTATATATATTTACGTGTAAGCTCTCCGTACTATGCACAGGTAGAACTGCACATTTGGGCATATGTGCTGGCGCGCCGAGAGCATCTGGCCCATTAATAGAGGGGTGATCCAAATTGAATTCTAAAAAATACATAGACTTTGTAGGGATGCACCTCTTTGGCGTCGGTGATAAAAGAGAGAGTAAAAAAAAATATATATATATATATATATATATATATATATTATATATATAAGAGAGGCCACCTACCCATCACTGCCGTTCTGAATAGCTTGGGTAGAAGAGGGCGGCATGTTGAGAAATGCTCTTTTAAGACCGGTGATAGACGGCAGATAATTGATGGGCAGACAGACAAGGGTACATGTAGGATAGATGCGCAAAGTGGATAGGCTAAGAGAACACTCCGGATTATAAGGCAAGAGAAAACTGGTAATAGTTGCTGATACCCGGATGAATCTTTGAGCGGAGAGAACATTCTATAAGTATTTATAGATACGAGTAAATGGTAGAATGTATCTGGTCAACTTTCCACCCTTTTTGCGCACCTCTAATATACTGAATTGCTTGCTTGTCATGAGCCAAACTCCGACACGGAGGCGCTGGCACCCCAACATGTAGACCTGAAGACGAGGGGCAAAGTCCGGGCTTGATTTGACAACATGTCATTGGCTATTACATGTACCGGGTGTTAAAAGGTGGGTTCTGGTGCTGAAAAGAAAGATCAGATGTCGGTTGCCTTGATCAAAATGACCTGCTTTTGGGGAAGCTATGTACTCATAGTCATGTCATAAGCCCATTAATACTGTGCGGACCTATTCGATGGGCTGCACCCACAGGTTGTTGACTATGCCGACAACAACATGAAGCTTCTTATCCTTTGGGCTCTCGTCCAACCAGCCTGCTAGCACATTTCGGCAGCGGCCAGCCTAGGTCTAGAGCGCTGCTCCGGCGGTGACTTGTTCACTCTGGTGCCACCCAAGCGCCCACTGGCAGATGCAGCGCCAAGCACTTGGTGCCCAGGGGAACAGGTCTCTGTCATCATGAGAGGGAGGGACAGTGGGAGAGGAGGAGAGGAGGACAAAGGCGGCCAACGTAGCCCTTGGCCGGCCCCACTGGAGCTTCAACCGCTGGTGCCAGCCGATGGAATTAGCCAGGTCTTGCTTCCATGATCCCATGCTAATGTTGCCCTTTTTTCCCCGATGCTATCTTCACTTTTCTATCTTACTTGTTGTTGGACTTGGAGAGAAACGGGATTAATACTCTTAGCCAACAATTGAATCAATTGGCAGCCAGATAAAAAAAAGAAGATTTGACCAGGCTAGAGAAAAATTGAAAGTTAGATGGTGCCATTGGCCATTAGTGGATGACATGAATTTAGGTATTACGAGACGGGAGATGCGGGGACTGAGCAATCAGAGCACTTTGTTCAGTAATAAGTTTCAAGTCAAAATACAAATCAGACTATTTGCTTCCATTAAACCCCCATCTTTCCTCAACCTTGTATTCTTTGTAAAAATTGTTGTAGAGCCCACTCATGTATTTGCACACGCCGATTTGCTTGTTCCGTGACGCCAAATTAGTTTCCGGGTGGTTTATCACTGGAACCAAACTGCTGCTCAAAGGCAAGCAGCTTAGTCATCATCCGCGCCTTGGCATCAGCCTCTGCCTCTGCTGGAGATTGAGTTTTGCCGAACTCCGGGGGGCATCGTTGTTCCTGATCAGCAAGGAAGCGATTGATGGCACAGCTGTGACTAGGGGGGGCGTTGGCGGTGGTGTCGCTGCATCAGCATTTCATTAGCACCCGACCATTCGACCACTCGCTGGACGCTTAGATCCCATACGAGTATCAATCCATTAAGGTACATGGGCATTGAAGTTGAAAAAAATCTATATAGCAAAACCTACTTTTTACTGCCACTGTAGATGGCATAAGCAGAAGAAGACGGCATTTTGGGCATCTCAAGTAGGATGCAGTATTCTGTGGCGTTAATGGGATCAAGTACTAACTTCCCAGCACTTGACAGAACTACCAAAGGGTAGCACAAGAATCCCAAAACTCTAAACTATAGAGGTAAAGAGCAGTGTCGGGTGGTAAGAAGAAGAGTTGTGAAGGAAGTTTTTCAATGGCTACTATCACTCGTAGTAAGTGGCTGGGCAAGTTGTTTTACCACGGGTGTCTCCCATATTTATATCCCTCTATACGTACGCAAGTTTGCAAAGAAGCAAAAAGGTAAGAATCTCGCCGTGCCATGCATGCGTCACGGCTCCCTCCTCGCCTTGGAAGACCATGGCGAGGTAGACCATACCTCTGTGCTGGCAGAATTGGGTAAGGGGCGCCTGTACTGTCTACCGGCGTAGGTCAACAAAGAATGTCAGACAGATACTAGCACCACCGCCTAGCACTGTAGCCTTTTAGCGACTCCACTAGAAATGGTTGGCTACAGTGGATCTGATTGGCGTCCACCTGCCAATCAAGCACCCCTTCATTTTCGTTTGGGGTGAGTTTTGGGAGATAGGGTGGTAGGGCACGGCCGAGCAGTGCGCGCGCCAGGTGTACCTGCGCCGTCTCTACCAGGTAGTAGGCACATGAATCCCCGGAGTCGCGTATGCAAAACACATCCACTCAAAAATTGGGATTTTACACATCTAATTTCGCAGCCAAGATTGAGGATAGATGATATCTACCACAATATACGTTTCTCTTCTAGTGTTATCACATCCTGCGACAGCTTCAGCATAAATCTTGTCTAGTTCTCTTGTGGCGGCTTATCCCAAACGTCTTACACAAGCTCGTGTAGTCTGAACTTCTCTTGGCCTCTTATCCGCCACAAATGTTTTGTTCCCTACGATACAACAATAGGGAATGATTGCATGTATGCTGAAGGCTATCATACAATTCAAGTATCGGATCAAGTTTTGAAACTTACCTCAATTGCCATTATTTTATCGCATCAATATAGACATTTACATAGCCTGCGGCTTGCCAAGATTATTTCAATACTTGAAAACGTTTTCAACTACCATTGAGCTGGCAGATTTAGTGTGTCACATCTGCTCTTAAAAGCTTCCATCTTCCATATTTCCTACTCTGTGGAATCAGTGGCGTGCCATTTGATGGCTAACTACAAGGATACATAAGCTATGAAATTACATGTGAATCTCTCTCGGAGGACCAAGGCTGGATTGACCCCGTCTCCCTCTATGTTCGACCCTTGGTCCCCCCTCCTCCAGTGACATGCTTGTGTATTTACTGATATCTCAACACCGCGAACCACATGCAGCATCATCACAACCTGATTCATCTAAAAACGCTCTATTACTGTTAGTGCATCTGTGTGAGCAGTCGGGAATAGGTAGTCTCTCAGGCAAACGCTTACCTGAGATGTGAGCCTGTCAGTTGATTCTGGCACGCCGATTTAGTTGCGGGGGTGATTAGTGCTTGAGCTAAACTGCTGATCGAATGCATCTAAACGGGCGCGCATCGAGGCCGTTTCTTCAGCTTCGGCCGACTTCTGATCGCGCACTTGCATAAAAGCCACAGGCGGACGTTCATGATCGACATGGCCATTGCGACCGAGAAAGCGATCGAGGCTGTACGACACAGCCTGGGGCTCCTTGCCTCTAATAAAGTGTCCGTAAGTACGGAGTAGCCGCACGCTCGTGAGTGCATGCACGAGTGTTCTATAGAATCCATGCACCTATGCAAGTACAGAGGTACATTGAGTGGCGCCGGAGCATGCCAACCAACGGAGGATGAATAATTTCAGACACATGTGTTTTATAATTGCTCTGATGGTGGTAAAGATGAAGAAAAAAAAGAGAAGACATAATGGCAGATGGAAGATGACTTACTCGTTTTTGCCGTTATTATCAGCTCGAGTAGAGGAGGGCGGCATAGTGGAAGATGCTCTGCCGACAACTCGATGCTACCTTAGTAAGTACAGAGGTACTTGGCCGACAACCTGAATAGATGAGCGAAGTTGCTTGAGAGGGGTACGTATGAGACAACAACGGTGATGACTGCTGATTATTAGGTTAAAACGTCGAGGGGAGAGGAGAGCTTTTATGTTCGAGGCCATGGACAGCGCGTATGGTTATCATGGCCAGACCCTTGCTGATAAAATTATCGTAACGTATCGTGCATGTCAGCACAGGCTTCCGGATCTCGCAGCTCTCAGGTTATACACCCTACAAGCATCTATTTTGCTAGCTTAGTACTAATCGTCATCAACTTGCCAATGGCATCAAGAAAAGTACCAAGCTAACAAGTAGATGCCCGCAGGGTGTATTAGCGGCGTAGCGTGGACTTAGGCTCGGCTCTGGTGATCCGCCTTTGGCGATCCGGCCTTTGGCGATCTGGATTCTCTCAGTGTGGGTGGGATGGTTCCACTTCCTTCATGCAGAGCTTTTAAGGCAACTAATACTAGCCCATTCGAGGAAAACCGACACTCCCACATAAAAACACCTCACCTTTTTCGCAAAAAGCAGCGCCTGTTGTGCTGCCCAGTCCCAATTGACACCTTTGCTGTTTGGTCTGGTTTGGACGCCTCCTTCGCCGACGCGGAGCTTGGCGTGCAAGAACGCCATGACTAAGACCCCGAGGGCTTTCTGCACCCCTTTGCGTGACCTTGATCGTTGAATACGAATTCTTCTTTACGCATCTGTCGAGCAAGCCCAAACCCGTGAATTGCGCCGATTCCCAAGCGCTGGGACACGCTGGGCGCAGCATCCTTTTAACATCAGATGGGCTGAGAGCGAGAAGAAGACGACCCATTCTTATGTGAGATAAGGTAGTCGTTGGATTTAGTAGTAGTCAAATCATTGATGACCAAAGTGACAGTATCATCTCTTCGTATATTATCACAATAACATCCATGTCTACTAGGTGCCTATGTATAGGTCATACCTCCTTCAACTAGTGCGTCGTTGATTGAATACTTGCGCCACAGACTCGGCGCGCACAAACTGTAGCTGCGCATATATGCTTCTGCGCATGTACATAGCGATTGGATATTAAGAAAACAGCCCTGATAAGCAATATCTCTATTTCAGACTGTAAAATTATTCGAGCCCGGCATCTCACGCTTTATATTGCCTAGTAGCGTAATGCTATTACCACGGTACGTCACCTCTCCTATAAAGTCCTGTTACTTAGCGTCAACGATCTGTAGTGGTAGACACAAATCTTCTGGCGAGCTTCTCATCTTATGCTTGAAACATATTCTTATGCTTGAAACATATATATATCTGTTCCTGCACCTTACTGGGCATGTATGAGACAAGGCACCCCGCTTAAAAACGTGTTGTCTTGCGGTAGTAGGTACGTACGTGCATTGTTTTCACTTTCACCTCTTTCTTGTTGATGCACCACTTGTGTAACTGTCTCGGTCAGCGGAAGTTGTCTGTAATGCCCACCCCGGAATTGTAATTTAACACAACAAACATAAAGTAGGCAAAAACCATTGTCAATAGAGTTCTTTATTGTAAATAATGCCTAGTGATGAGACTCCACAACCTCGTTGACTAAATTTATGATGTCTGATAAAAGTTAATTGACTCACAGGATCTTAGAATCTAATTCATCCAGCTGCAATTCACTTATCCGTTGGCAACAGAGCTACGAACCGCGAAATTCGAGTATGCGCACGCATGAACAAGGGAATGCATTTTCTTTCAATGACCTTGCTGTATATCGTTTTATGTGGATAATTGTTTAACAAGGCACAGCCTTGACTGATACAGAGTCGAAATCATGTGCAACGTCATTGGATAATACATGCGCATAAGTCATCTCTGTAAAATCTAAGCCGTCTTTCCGATTGGCCGGTTTATGCGAAGTATTATCCAATAACCATTGCAGGTATCTTCATTATTCGATTGATAAGCCTAAGCGAATAATGATTTGGTTTATGGTTGGGCATCATAGAGCCTTGCGGCATTCTTTTCCCCCGCTTTCCTGTTCACATCATAGTCGGAATTTGCATGCCATCGAAGGATATCCTCTAATTCAACGCTACGATGGGAAAATTACGGTCGGTTTTTCGATTCAAGAACAAAACAGGAGTGCCTGACACCAGACATACCCAACAAAGCCAAAAACTCCACGAGGGAACCGACACGAATACGACTCCCGAGGGAAATGACGAGGCAAATGAAGGCACCGAGAGATCCAGCACTCCCCTTTTCACAGAGAATACACCAATTCGTGAGCTTTGGATAGTAGCCTACGAGAGACTACGAGACGAAGATGGCGAACTCATCAAAAATTACGAGATCGAACTCAAAAAAAGCGTTCCCGCCAGCCTAGGGCAAATGATTCCCATCAGAGCAAATAAGAGAGACGAGGTGGAGGCTATCCTCAGGATCAAGATGGAAGAGATCAATAAAAATGCATCAAGTCTGGCTAGAGTGGACGACTTCACGCAGCTCTTTTTCAAAGTTGTGGATTCAGCCAACGATTATATCAGGGGCGCCGCAAGCGCCAACCCATACACTTCGATAGCTTGGATAGGTGTCAGCTTTGTTCTTCCCGTGAGTTACGGTCAAATATCTATAGGCGGTTCATAAAAAAAAAATACTTACTGCGTTATAGCTTTTACTTAATCCTTCAGAGCAGAGGAAAGCCCTAGCGAAAGGGCTGGACTATATTACCTCTCTTATTACTCAAAGCCGAATGAGAGAAGAGCTCTATGTTGAGTGTTATGAGTCGCAAACCGAGAACCGTGAAAAATTTCGACAATCTCATAGCCAGTACAAAACCGCCTTGGAGAAGCTTTACAGGCAGATCTTGAGATTCGAAGCTACAGTCTATTGCTACTATACTAATACGTCTGCTCTTCGCTTTGCTCAAGATTCTACCAAGTGGAATATATGGGAGCATTTAGTTGACGACCTTCGCGATCAAGGCAATAACTTTGCCGCTATTGAAGAGAAATGGCGCGATATGCAGCGCTATGAGAAACGCTTGGCCACCGAAAGTTTGCAGCAGGCGGCCATCGACACGTTATCTGCCCAACTTTCTGCATCACAAAAGGCGCTTGAGGATGAGGAAAAAAAAGAATACAATGACCTACTGAAATGGCTTTGTGATGTTGATCCCTCCGCTATGCATAATGCCGCTCGCGACAGGCATGAGACGGGCACGAATGAATGGTTGATCAGCGATAGCGAGGAATTCAAGGCTTGGGAGACAGGCGATAAGTCATTACTGTGGCTCCATGGGAAAGGTATGTTGAAAGCTTCGTAGAATATGGGTTGTCTACCCAAAACCTTTACTAAATATATGTTTATAGCTGGCTCCGGAAAATCAATCCTAACCTCATCAGTCATTAAATACTTGCAAGATCAGTACGCTTCAAAGTCATCACTCTCGACTGCGCTGGCCTACTTCTACTTCAGCTTTAGTGATCCCCAAAAGCAAAAAGTAGATGTAATGCTTGCGTCTCTTATCAAACAGATTTGCTCTTACTTTTCTCAAGAACTTTTATTTCTTGAGGATTTCCGTGGGCACAAGAGAAGAGGAGAACGCCCAGATACTCGAGCCCTTGAGAAGATGCTAGTGATGTCTGCATCGAGCTTCTCGAATGTTTACGTTGTTATTGACGCTCTAGATGAGTGTCCGTTGCTAAACAACCAACGAGAATATTTATTGAAAAGCTTGGGGCGTATTCTTGTTAACGAGCCTGAAAATCTTCACATTTTTTTAACCAGTCGCAAAGAGCAAGACATCGATAAGAAGCTACGTGCTTCTCTATCTCCACCACAACGGATTGAAATCGATTTGCTAGCCCATCAGGAGACACTTAACCACGATATCCACCGTTATATCGACCTAAAGTTGGCGACTGACGCTTTTGACTCTTGGCCAGAGAGTGTAAAAGAAGAGGTGAAACAATCGCTTGTGGAGAAAGCGGACTACATGTAAGTCTTTATTCTCAAAGTGTTACATCAACGAGATTGTTAATAGTGTATAAAGGTTTCAATACGTTCGGTTTCAATTTGAAGCACTTCAAAAGCTTAATTCTGTGCCCAAGATACGCAAGGCTTTGCGAGACCTTCCTATTGGACTTGATGCAACTTACGACAGAATTCTGCAATCCATTGATTCTGATTTCCAATGCCAGGTTCTAGGCTCTCTAAAATGGCTCGCCTTTTCGAAGAGAACCTTGAGCATTGAAGAGCTCTCTGAGGTTTTTACACTTTATACTATGAATTCAAATGATGATATCTTTGACGAGGCAGAACGCCCTTTCTCTTGTACGGATATTCTCAAGTATTTCTCCGGCCTAATAGTCAACTCGTGGAGTCACTATTCGGCAAATACGGTTCGGCTAGTACACTTTTCTTTGAAGGAGTACTTGACTTCCTCAAGGGTATTAGAAGGCTCTACCTCGGTGTTCTCGCTCAATGAGGTCGATAGCCATCTATCTATTGTTCGTGCGTGCTTCGTCTATCTGAGACACATCAGTTCTCAAGATGCGAATGGCGTGAACCTTAAATTCTCAGATCACCCATATCACTTGACGAACTACGTTGGCAACTACTTGCTAGTTCATCTTGACGAGATCCTACATGAATCAGCCGAGATTAGACAAGAAGCGTTACCTCTGCTTGCTGCTAACAGCCAAAGCTTAGTCACTCTGATCCATATTGGTAGAAATGTTCATTGGGAGAGTGAACCTAATCTACGGTTGAGGCCATATTGCTACGCTGTGTTACTCGGCCTCCGCCGGCTGACAGAATTTCAAATTTCTGAAGGTGTCAATAAGTATATTACTCAAGAAGACTTGGGTAGAGGCCTTTCAACCGCTATTTATCAAGGAAACACAGACATCATGCAGTTGCTCCTCAAAGCAGGTGCGGATGCCAACATATATGGGAGACATGGCACGAGCCTGAGAGATGCGATGAGGCGAGGGGATATTACTGCCTCAGACCTTCTTGAGACACACGGAACCATTATAAGCGGTCATCCGATTATCGAATGTATATCCAAATACTACCAGGATGAAAAAGCCGTGAAGTTACTTCTTCACGGAGGTGTTGATATCAATATGCAAGATGGGCGCAATGAAACAGCCATTCACATGGTAGTATCTACGGGTGACGAAAGAATTTTGAAGCTCTTGCTAGAGAGAGGCGCTGATGTGAACGCTGGAATACATGAGTATTTAGGCACGCCAATTCAAAGAGCGTGTTGGATTGAAAAGAACTACACGACTCAGTTCATTAACATGCTATTAGACAAAGGCGCGGATCCAAACATTCGGGGTGGGAGATTTGGTACAGCGCTTCAAGCGGCATGCGCCATCCTTTCAACTGAGGGGAGCCCTGAGAGCCCCTATTTTCGCCGTGGCCTCCGTTATGACAGACATAGCTACAACACGATCGTCATATCGCGAAACATACGGCTTCTCATTGATCACGGCGCCGACGTGAATGTTCAAGGAGGGGAGTACGGAACAGCTCTCCATGCCCTAGCAGGATCGAGAGAACCTGAAACGGGTCAGTTGATAGAGCTTCTCTTGAGCAATGGTGCGAAGGTCAACCGACTAAGTGACTGGGGAACAGCATTGCATGTTGCCTGCCATGAGGGCATGATAGAGACAATTCAGTTGCTGCTCGACCATGATGCGGATGTGAATGCAATAGGCGGCAGATTCGGCACGCCACTACAAGCTGCTGTAACTTCAATGGGCTTGAGACTGACAACAAAGGACACACTTGCTCGTGAAAGGGAGCTGATACTGGAAATTGTAGAGCTGCTCTTAGAGAGAGGCGCTGAGATCAATCAAAAGGGAGGGAAGTACGGAACTGCACTCCAAGCTGCTTACGCCAACGAATATGTCGACATGAAGCTGATCCGCTTGCTGCTCAACCACGGGGCAGACGTTACCGCAGAAGGCGGGCACCATGAAACCATGCTTGCCGCCGCTTGCAGCAACCCTGAGATAGGCCTTGAGAGTGTGCAAATGCTGCTGGACCGCGGCGCTGATGTCAATGCAAGAGGGGGCGCGGACGGAACAGCACTTATAGTTGCCTGCAAACGTGGAAATCTTGAGCTGATGCAAGTGCTGGTTGGCTATGGCGCTGATGTGAATGCAAAAGGCCCACAGGGCCAGACCGCTCTCACAACAGCTTTTTACAACGGGAACTACGGATTCATCTCATCAGTGGTGAAATTACTACTCGAAAAGGGCGTTGACGTGAATGCGGAAGATGAAGATGGTCGAACGCCTCTTATGCTTTCTTGCTACGAAAAGGAGAGACTTGAGTTGGTGAAATTACTGCTCAAAGAGGGCGCTCATGTAAATGTGGAAGACAAGGATGGCCAAACGCCTCTTGCCTTTGCGTGCAAGTATAATGGAGGCGCCGAAATGGTGGAATTGCTGCTTGAGCATGGTGCAAATGTTTTCCATCGGGACTCTGCTGTCTGGCACGAGGTTGCCCACCTACCACGCTCGACAGCTACACCGGGAGACATACTTGCTATGCTCAAGCTTCTCCATAACTACCACATCGACGTCAACCATGTGCATAAAGGGTATGGTACCATGTTGACCTCTTTGGTTAAAAAATGGTATCCAGACCCTAAAAAGGAGTTATATCCTAGCATCCGCTGGTTACTCGACCAGGGCGCTGATATCAATATCATGGGCGGGGACTTTGGTTTCCCGCTCCAAGCGGCATGCACACTCACTGGTATATCACCAGACATTAATTCTAACTCTGCCAGTACGAAGTTGTTGCTCGAAATATGCCCCGATATTGATGTCAATGCCCAAGGCGGAAGATTCGGCTCGGCACTCCAGGCAGCCGCTTTTTCGGGTCAAGCTGAATCAGTCAAGTTACTGCTTGAGAGAAATGCCAATGTCAACGCGGCAGGCGGCAAGTATGGCAGCGCTTTGAATGCTGCTATTGTTACCGGCCACTGGAATATCGTTGAGATTCTACTACAAGCGGGGGCCACACCTGATTGTTATTTCCAACAACAACCTGATGAAGAATGGCTTGAAATGATTCGAAAGGAAGATGATGTTGCTTATGTGGACACGAAAGGTGCTGCTGAGAGATATATGAAGTTCTGGGAGGTTCAGAGCAAATCTAGATTGAGTAGTTAGGTCGGTAGCTTGGCTGAACTACATGAGATTAGGAACAGTAGATACTTGTGAACATTGAAAGACTGATATATTGCCTTACTTTATTTACTTGTTGAACATCTTGTCCTTTATGAGTCCCATTACGCTCTATTATACTCAAGTTCAATCTAGTCATATCCATTAGTAAATTAAATTATCCCTAACTGTAGCCTTCCCTCCGACTTTCGTCCTAACAATAGGCCATTTACGTTTGGGTGACTTTGCCTCATTATCACGGTAGCTCACCATGACTTTGTATTCTGGATAAGCTCCTCTTAGACTGCAAAAGCACTATAATGAATATGATGTAAGTGCATAGAAATAATTCCCACTTGACGGATCATAGTCACAGGTAGCTAGGGAAGCCATACATACGTAGTCGCCAGATATACAAAGTACTAAGACTAGCTAATCGATCTCATGGCATATCCTAGAGAGGCTGAGACAAGAAAACGTCTCCATACTGTTGCGTAGCTTCTTCTCTATACGAAGAGTGTAGCAAAAAGGCGCCGGAGGCCAAATCTTTCGGTGCCCATAGCGCAGTGAGACAGCAACTTCAGTAGAGAGTCCCGTTCACTTACCATTGAACTCTTGGTTCAATTTTTTTTTGAGTTATTGGCCAACCAGAGAGACTTCCGGAATAGTGGTTCGCTCGAAAACTAACCCGATAATTGAACTCTTTCATTTTCAGAATTGTAAGATGCTATAAGCCAGACATTTTTTGATGTATCAATAAGTGCGCTGCAGCAAGAGAACAATGTCGATCACAACCACTATTAACTATATTTTCCACTCTATATCTATTAGCGTCGCTGGAACTGAAGTGCAAGGGTTGTCGCTACTTAGGCCAAGTGGCGCCGATCTGATAGTACATTCTCTGCTGTGACTGGTTACTTATCCAGCGATATGGACAAATAATAATGTACCCCCAGGTAAGGATGAGTTGCAAGCAAGCCCAGGAACAGCACGGTTGCACCAGACAAGCGCGGGGGACTAAAGTACTATAAGAAACCAGACGTGGTGTGGCAATGAAATAGGGACAAGTTTTGATCTTCATGTTAAAGAACGCGCCAGTACATCCTATTTAGTAAAATTAAAAGACAAAATATATATAAGACTGCATCCTTCCATTCTTATGATTCTCAGGTTCCCCAAATTTTATATTCTCTATAAGGATTAATATAGAGACCACCGATATAATGCATTTACGGACGGGTTACTTACTGCCCGAGTATAAATTAGTTACCCAGAGGCTTATCGCTGGAGCTGAACTATTTCTTAAATACAAGCAGCTTCGTCATCATTTTTGCTTCTGCCTCTGCGGGAGATTAGATTTTAACGAATTCCGGGGGGCAGCGTTGCTCCTGATCGGCGAGGAAGCGATTGATGGCACAGCTGTGACTAGGGGGGGCGTTGGCGGTGGTGTCGCTGCATCAGTATTTTATTAGCACCGTTTCGGCTATTGCTGGGCCTTCTAATGCCATGTGTAATATATGAAGTATATCGACATTGATTAAAGTCCACTTCGTGTCTTATAACTAAACAAGTAGAAGAAGCCATTTGTATTGCAAACTTACTTGCCACTTGCATCGTAGACTGCACAATTAGAAGAGGATTGCATTTTGGGCACCTTAAATAACTCGCAGCGTCTTATGAGGTTGGTGGAATCAGTATAAACCGCCAAGGTTTTGAGAGCAGAACTCTCCAGCTACCAAAGCGCGTAGAAGGATAAACCTACCCAAGATAGATAGGCGTGTGTAGGTAGCTAGGCAGACTTTTCAGATCCTAACTGTCACAGGGGATTCTTGAATGATTTTATACATGTAGCGCATTATGCGTATGATGATGTGTATCTCATGTACGTTGAAAAGGCCTATCGTAAGGCAACCTATATGTGGCGCACGAAGTCTCACATCGAACACACTTATATGTGAAACAACCATAATCCCTTTTTTTATATAATTCATTCTTCAGATGTGCCAATCACCAATGCATTCTGGCGCATCTTAGACGCAAGGCCTGTGTTCGCCATGCGCACGCGCCCCTAGAAGCAGTTGGCAGATTCTTACGTTTGATTTGTTTGCAGCCTGTTGGCCTCTTTGGGCTAGCCTTGTTTGCGCTTTCATCCATCTAACCGACCATCTGATCTCTTCTCTCAATCGTGCAGGGTGAAAACCGTACAAAAGCAGCTAATGCAAGAGTTTGCGTATCTTCGCCTCTGGAGGGAGCCGCCCCCCGAGAGCCTGTTGCGAATCAAGATTTTCTATTCTAACTGACCCCTTCTAATAATCCCTGTCTGCTTGGCCGCTCGCCCCGCGCAGAGTCTCCCAGCAAGGCTCGGACACCAGTACCATCCAAGGAGGTTATCTCCAAGTGTGTACCACTCCGTGCCGGTGCCGTGACGCCCACTACCTACTAGTAGGTACCACCTAGGTAGGTAGCCTAAAAGTGCTCGTATCAAGACTCTGAAATCTGCAATCTACATTCGAACTATGTATTGAGCACGATTGAATGTCGTTGCGTATATACGCACACTTCGTCGTATGTGTATGGATCAGAATGACGGTCAACAGGGGATGCGAGCAGCGATACTACAGATGTCACCGCAATTGCGTAGACGGCGCCGGCATTTCCGAAGCTAGTATCAGCGGTCGCACTATCAAAGTGCATTTGGAGACGCCTCCTTCGAGGCGCATCCCTCAAGTCGTCGTGATGCACGTAAGAGAGAAGATCCCGTCTTTGTTTCTATGTGGCAGCCTCACTCGGTGCTTAACAGGGAGACAACTACTAACCCACCAGGTATTTGGCCATGGCTTCAATGGGTGCCTCTTGAACCTATCGGTCCAGTACCCTGGCCCAATCGCTAGCCTTCTTCTCTCACATCGCATCATACCACACTGCAGTACGCCGTTCACCCACTCCGTATGCTGCATATAGTACACAGCTGAACGGCCCAATGACTGCCCACAGGCCGTGGGTTGTGCTAAGCAATGTATTTTTCAGCCACAAATATATCAAGCCTTGTTCTCTCGGTGTAGACACTCCTACATTACAAACACCCCGCTACAGAAAAGTTTCCGTTGTGCTAAATTAGATGTCAGACAGCCCGCATGTATATGCTTGCATCAGGGCGATCTGGTGAATGGTGCTGGCATCACCACCTTTTATAGATGCTAGTAATTCCATTTGCCATGTACAATATCCCCTTCAATTACTGTATATTAACTCAGGTGCCTTGTGTATTAATAGATTCTTAGTTTGTTGTATAATTACCTCAGTGGTAATGTGTGATAGCGACATAAGTAGATTCTAAACCCGTGCAGTAAGCACATCTGTGCTCGTTCCGCGTCAAACAAAGAAAACTTGTCGTTGCTGATTTAGGCGGCGATGAAAATTAACGTCAAGGTTGAACGGCCCGCTGACAGAAGTGGCACGAGAAATACATGAATGTAGGCACATTTTGGGCTCGGGGACCATAGTAACCGCTGGTGTCGCCCAGTGCTTCATGGCATAAAAGGCTGTGAAACCTTTGGTTTCGTTTCAGCTGTTAGTGGCCTGATGTGATATGCCTGCATGCTTAGCTCGCGACGGGAAATGAGAGAGTGTGTCTTGCGTTGATAGGCACTTAGTTGACCGAAAACGCTTGTGCTAAAGGCTCGAAACATACAAACAGTGCAGCGATTGGATATTAAGAAATGGAAGTTTTGACCAGTAATATCTTTGGCTCGGACTAAGAGATTTATACGTGTATACGGTATCGCGTCCCATAGGGCAGCACTGCGATCACGATACAGCTCTTCTACCATGGCTGCCATCGCACAATTTCGAAGCTGCCTGCCCTTTACCGTCTGGCCCAGATATTCCAGCGAGCTTCTCTGTTCATGCTTCAAGCCTTAATGCATCCGTTCCTACGCCTTGCTGAACGCATATGAGAAGCCCTTCTCATGTACAAACATGTTCATTTACATTCTAGAGCAGCACTAGGCAGTTACGTGCCTGTAAGTACAGTTTTCACTGACACTTGCTTACAGTTTTCACTGACACTTGCTTACCGCACGCGCATTAGGTACTATGTATTTGGCCCGATGAAGTTTCTTGTCTCGAAGCTTCGCATTAGAGCTGTAACAAATATTTCTTCACGAATGTTCTCTCACTTGGTTCGTTTCCAATGTTCAGTTAAAATTGATGATGAGAGTTCGTAACTGAGTTGCTAAGATTTAAGTTGACGTATATTAACCCGTTGCGACAACTCATCAGATGATCTACTTATATCGCTACCCTGCACGCAATTTATTCACATAGATATGTAATTTTCTATCACAAACTATCTCTCAACATTACGTTTGACATTTTACAAGCGACTCTCCAACCACGTAAAGAATTATTGCCCCAAACTGATGTAAGTACCGTTTTAGCTGCCTCTTGGATCTCCCCCCAAGCCAAACTTCTCATCAAAGGAATCCAACAGCCTTCGCATTCTTTCTTCTGCCTCAATCTCACTTTGTGGCTCTTCGAGTCCTGGTAACGGGCGCTGGTAGTTTTCTCCCGATTTATCGTCGTTGCGTTGAAGAAAGCGGTCCATATTGTATGCAGGGTCGTGAGAAACCTCGAAAGATTGGATATGATTGGTGGTGGGGCCGTGGTGTTCTTTGTCGCTATGTGATCTTAACTTCCGTCAGTATAGGTATGTGCATGGGAATTGCAAGTGATAAAGAACAAAGAAAGAAAGAAAGACAAAGAGCAAAAATCAGGGATTGAGTTTCGAGATGAGATTGTGAGTATTTCCCTCGCAATCGACAGTCATTGTAGGTTTGTTACGACGATGAGGCTACACGTACAGAGTGCTACCAACGCAGACTGGGCAAGTGGATGGACCAGACATTTTGTATAATGTGAGTCGTTAAGAAAGCAAAAGAAGGATAATCCAGAAGGTGAACTTGCTCTATGGTAAAAGGTACGGTGGCATGGATATACACGCTTTA